CCCCCCCCCCCAGTGAAGGACCCCTTCAGAAGGTGGTGCCTGGCCCTGTCCCTCTCCCCATATGGTTATTTTCCAGGCAGGGTGGATAGACTGCCCTTTTTTTTTCTTTTTTTTCTAATATGTCTTTATTGATTTCAGAGAGAGGAAGGAAGAGGGAGAGAGAGATAGAAACATCAATGATGAGAGTCATTGACTGGCTGCCTCCTGCACGCCCCCTACTGGGAGTCGAACCTCGATCTCCTGAATCCTAGGTCGATGCTCAACCGCTGAGCCACGCCCAGCTGGGCAGAAACATCAGTTGGTTGCCCCTGTACGCTCCCCAAGCAGGGATCAAACCTGCAACCTTTTGGTGCACTGGACAATGCTCCAACCCACTGAGCCACCTGGCCAGGGCCTTAGGCTGCCCTTCTTGACCTGCTTTGTCCCCACAGACCTACATCTCCCCTGGTGCATCCATCATCCACGCCGATTCACCAGATGGCGAGGCTGTGGCCTTGCTGCACAACATGCGAGTGTATGGGACCTGCACACTGGTCCTCATGGCCATGGTGGTCTTCGTGGGCGTCAAGTACGTCAACAAGCTGGCGCTGGTGTTCCTGGCCTGCGTGGTGCTGTCCATCCTTGCTATCTACGCCGGCGTCATCAAGACCGCCTTCGACCCTCCGGACATCCCGTGAGTCCCGGTCTTCAGTTAGGGGTCCCTTGTCTGTCCTTCTGCTTGGGTCAGATCTGTAAGGATACAGTGTTTCCTGGTTTGTAATTCAGGTTTCATCTGTGGCCATAACAGTGGAGCCTGGGGTGGCGATGCCGTGTGTCTGTCAGTCTTACCTTTTCTCACTGGCATCGGGGATGAGCAGTCAGGCTACTTTTGTAGCTAGCCACCTGCAAGGACAGGACAGGAGGTTTGGTGAAGGTCTAAGGATGTATAGGTTGGCTGGTGGCCCTGAGGATAGTCAGGCAGCATTGAGCTCCTCCCAGGTGTGGCCTACTCCCCTAGTCCTCACAAAAACCCTCAACGGGATTCCTACATTGTCCCCCTTTTGAATGGGTACACTTAGTCACAATGAAGTGGCCCTAGGTCACAGAGAGAGTAAGTGAGCTGGTGGTATGGCTGGCATTCAAGCATCAGGTTGCCCATTGGCCTGGGTGGGGTGGGCTGAGAGGCAGCTGGCACCCAGTCCCCTCCTGGATCCTATGCTTTGCTGTCTCTATGTGGAGGGAGCCCCCCGGGTGGGAATAGTCTTGTTTATTCCTATGACAGACACTCCAGAACAGGGTGGCAGAACAGACCGTCCCTTAGCCCCTCTCCGCATGAGAATTGATCTCCTGCTTAGACACTGATTTCCAGCAGCTCATGCAAATGTTCCCATCATGCTAAATGGAGAGTGTCAGAGCTACTTCCAGGAGACCCCTGCAAACTTCCACCATCACTGAAGAAAGTGGTAAAGTAATTTCTCATATTCCCCATGTCCTCTCACACCCCCACTCCCGCTCCAGGGTCTGTCTGCTAGGGAACCGCACGTTATCAAGACGCAACTTTGACACCTGTGCCAAAGTCTATACCACCACCAACGGCACAGTGACCACCTCACTCTGGGGCCTCTTCTGCAACAACTCCATGCCCAGCGCCACCTGCGATGAGTACTTTGCCCAGAACAACCTCACGGAGATTCAGGGAATCCCAGGTGTGGCCAGCGGCGTCTTCCTGGGTGAGTGCCCAGTGGATCTTGGCAGGACTGAGTTGTCCAAATCCCAGTCCCGGGGATCCCATCCTGCTGCCCAGTCCATGGTGTGCCACCCCTTCCTCGATGCTGATCTGCCAGGGCCCTGCTCGGCCTGCTTCTCCCCGGGGCTTTAGATGCAGCCGTGTCGTGGGGGCCAGCAGTTCGGGGACTCCAAGTTCATCTTTTTCTTCAGGACTTCTTAGTAGCTCTGTTAATGAGGAAAGTAATTAACCGGTGGGGACTGGTTTTTCCTGTCTCTGAGTTCTTCTGTGATGAGAGATTGTGCTGGCCACCCCACCACACCAGGAGAGAGGCCTGACCTTTTATGGAAAAGAAAGTAGAATAATTCTGAGGCCGTGATCACTGGGTCCCTAGCTGTCCATCCCGTGGTAGATCGATATCATGTGTTCCCTCCAAGGCTGTGATGACAGTGGGTGTTGGGGGAATGCGGGGGCTGGACTGAGTTGAGATGGGTGGGCAGAGATGGGTCAGGGCTGCACATGTCCACACATCCCTCAGTATGGGATCCTAATGCTCATAGGCCCCTGGCTAGTGAGCCCAGCACTTACTTCTGGGTTCTGGCAGAGCAACTCCCTTGGAGGGGGCAGCTGTTTACAGTTCACTCAGGGAGGTAGAGGTGGAGACAGGGTGCCCTGTTTTGAGGGAGCAGGGATAGGTGGAAAGTAGGAGTGAGGCATAGAGATGACCTACAGGGATTGGGGGATGTCTATGGGATGAGGGGATCCATGTCAGGGGAGGGAGCCCTTGGGGGATGGGCTCTGCAGCAGGGACCCTCTAGAGGGTTTGGGAGGGAAGGGGGTTCTGTATGGAGAGGGGGCCTACAGGCTGTAGTCTGGCCAGGCTGGATCTGCCCAGGGGTGCATTTGCACAGGTAGGAGGTGGGCCTAAGGTGTCACTTCAATTGTGTGTGTGGGATGGGGCCATTGCTGCCCCTTAGGGGTCCTCCATCAGTGAGGTGACCTATGTGCAGGGGTTGCTGACTGACTCTCTCCACTTGGAGAACTTTCCTCAGAGCCCCAAGGCACCGTGTCAGGGACACGCTTGTTTGAGTGAAGTCTTCTCTGCAAATTTGACTTCAGGCCCGAAATCTTTTATTCAGTGATTAAGGTGAACAGTTTCTGAGCTTGATGTCCTTGACATTGTGTGAAATTGGAGTGTGCCTGGTGCATCTGCTGGGCCTCCCGATGGCGGGAATCCTGACAGAAGCCCCTAGAGTCCTGTTACCCGTCCTCTTTTCCCCACAGATAACCTGTGGAGTGTGTACACAGACAAAGGGGTGTTTGTGGAGAAGAAGGGTACACCCTCGGTGCCTGTGCCGGAGGAGAGCAGAAGCAGCAGGCTGCCCTACGTGCTCACCGACATCATGACCTATTTCACCATGCTGGTCGGCATCTACTTTCCCTCCGTGACTGGTGAGGCCTCAGGCGTTCCAGGCTGGTGGGCCCGAGCCATCTCCTCCTCCCTCAGCTCTACTGTAGCCAACCCTGTCCCCCTCCCCCGCCCTCCTTTCTTTCCTGTTTGGCTCAAGTAATGAGCGCAATCTGCTCCCCGTCTGTTCTGAGTGGGGAGCACAGGAAGTCGTGTGGTTTAAGGCAGCTTTGTTCCACGCTCTCCTGAGAGGCCCATGTTATTAGAAGTAAGTCTGTGACTGTGGTGCGGCCTTGCTGAGAACATCCAGTGCACATTAGGTGGCGCCTAGGAGAGAGCACAGAGAGCTGTTAGTGGTCAGGCACTGCAGCCACCCTTGTCCTTACAAGAGAGTCAGCTGACCTCTTGTCCCACGCAGATACGGCCCTTAGTGTATGAAAGTCTTTCCCCCACCCCTGCCCCGCACAAGCCTGTCTGCACTGTGGAAGGCTGGCCTGTAAGGCGCCGCTCAGTGCATTTCTGTACTTCACCTCAGCTCTTACTAAAGCCATGGATTTAGAGGCGGGAGTGGGGGAGGTGTTGGCAAGTGCTTCTTTTTAGTCTCCCCTCAAAGGTGGGGTCATGGACTTACTTTGGTGAATGGTGGGCTGTGGATCTTGCCCCCTAGGGGGTCATCGTCCTATACCATACCCCGACACCTGTCATTGTGGAACATGTTCTGGGATAAGAGCAGATCTGGTGGGTGGAGAGTGTGGAAACATCCTCTGTGGGTGCAGGTGTTCCCAGTCCTGGTTGCACCCTGTCTGTGGGCCCTGTGCCAGCACTCCCACCCACCCAGCCACCAGTACTGCCATCTTTCTGAGCATGTTGGCATATCAAGTCACACCTAGAACATGCTCATGGGGCGCTGAACAAACCTGCCAACAGTTGGGCGTTTCTTTGAGCCCAGTTGGAATCATTTTACTTGAGTCTCCAGGGTGTGGGCAATGACACAGCCATGTGCTGGAGAAGGAGGATTGAACCCAGTGCAGAGTTAATGTGGGGAGCCCTCGAGTTACTTTAGGGTCATGTTCTTACAGTGCTTGATTCAGACCTGGCACCGTGAGGAAGTCAGCATTTAGCATCATTGTCCAGGGAGTGTTCAATCCCCAGCCATGTGGATTAATCCAAATCTGGAAGAAAAATGAGATCGCAGCCGGTTGCACCTGGCGGCTGACTCTGGTTTGGTATCAACGGGGTTGAGCCTTGCTCTGATCTTGACTGTGATTTAGTTCATGGTAGGGTCAGCTGACCCTGTGGAGCATGTGGGAGACATTTGGAGCCTTTTCCCATGTGCCCTGCAGTAGCCATCTCACAGCTGCACTGTGACATCTAGGCTGTGCTCTTTGAGACCTGGGCTGGGGACATTGGTCCCGCACAGATGTGGTCTTAAGCTCACATCTTTCCAGCATGGCACAGCTGAGGTCCTGGACTGTTCATCCTAACTCAGCCTCAGATGGGCCTTGGCCAGTGGGGATGGAGTTTTCTAGGTTTGCTTGGTAACGGGTCAGCTCTGCCTCTCTCTTCCCACAGGCATCATGGCGGGTTCGAACCGGTCTGGGGACCTCAGGGATGCCCAGAAGTCAATCCCCACAGGAACCATCCTGGCCATTGTGACCACATCTTTTATTTGTATCCTTAAAGGGGTCAAGGTGTAGGAGGCATAGGCACAGGGGCTGTCCATCAGCCCCTCAGGGCCTGAGGGCTCCTGCCTCCGACACCTTGCGTGGCTCACTACTGTGCCATCAGCAGCTTTGGGTGAGTGTCTCTGGTTTAGGCAAGTTCTGATCACAACATCTGTCCCTTAGAGAGGGACCTTAGAAAGGTACTGATCTGATGCAAGAAAATAAAACACGACACCTGGGCACCACCTCCATAGTTGGTTGTGATATTGTGTGTAAACTACATACAGTAACCATGTTACCACAAGCATCATATCACACATTAGTAACACACAACCACATGTGTATCATGTAATAATCACACATATATGCTCTAGTCAGTTTTACCATGCTGTGTCACTGGCCTTATCCTTCTCTCTCACTGAAGTTTGTCCTTTCTAAGCAACCAAGTGTCTCCTGTGGTCGTCACACTGCAGGCCTGGCTGGCATGTCCTCCCTGGCCTGAGGCCCTGCTCTGTGGAGCCAGGACTCAGCAGAGAGGAAGGTGCCTGAGGGCCACTGGGACATGGCAGTACACCCAGAGTGGGTGGGCACAGGGTGGCTCCAGGCCCGTCCGCAACCAGGGCCCTGCTGCCAGCACATGGTGTCCACTGTTTCCTTGATACAAGCTGCAGACCTCTCCTGCATCGTGCTCTTCGGGGCCTGCATCGAAGGCGTGATCTTACGAGATAAGTATGTTGGTTTTTAAATGCAACCTATAGAAATTTCTGGGGACAGAGTCGGTTTTCTTGAATGACTTTAGCTTTGAAATTGAGATCACTCAGGATTTTACACTTGGTGTGTGGAGCAATAAGCCCCCACAGCCCCTTGGTTGAGGGTCTATTTGATCTCATGCATCTATTCTCCTGTTCCAGCCTGGAGCTGGGAGACCATAGAGCAATCTCAGACCTGACAATTGGGGTTGCAGGGGATCCCGGGAGAGGCCGTGGGGAACCCCCCTGGCCCCACCACTCAGTGGAGGAGCGGCTGGCCCCCCAGGCTGTAGCCCGCTACCCCTGCTTTCTGGTGGGTGTGTGTCCATCAGCCCCTCGGGGTGAGAGGGCTCCTGCAGGTCCCCGACAGTGAGGCCATACCCGCTGTCTGTGACTTTTGCACAAGTGACAGTGGCCTCATGGACCCTGGGCTGGGTTATGGCTTCCCTGCTCCTGAGAGGACCCTTGGGAGCGAGACCCATGTGTTTACTCAGAGTGGAGGTGCCATTGTGCCCACTCAGAAGCTGGGAAAATGTTTACTCTTCAGCTTATGTTTTCAAAGTCCACCCGCCTGCCCCTCCCACAGGTTCGGGGAGGCCCTGCAGGGGAACCTTGTCATCGGCATGCTGGCCTGGCCGTCCCCCTGGGTCATCGTCATTGGCTCCTTCTTCTCCACCTGCGGTGCTGGCCTGCAGAGCCTGACGGGGGCACCACGTCTGCTGCAGGCCATCGCCCGAGATGGCATCATCCCCTTCCTCCAGGTGAGCAGTGGCTGCCCGCAGGTCTGGGGTTACATCAATGGCTCCCTTCTGAGAGCAGGATCCTTGGGAAGGAACATGTCTGGAGGGTCCCCGAGGTTCTGTCCCAGAGCATGATCTTTATGGTTAAAGATGGTGGGAGGCACCCCTGTCCCCATCTCTAGCCTGGCAACCCCCCACTCCAGATGGTCACTGGGCTGAGGGCACTGGTGCAGCAGATAGAGGCAGCCCCTCACTACCCTGGGCTGGCAGAGCAGTTCACATGAGTGACTGTGGATGCCTTCACCTCCTGTGGAGTTGGCATCTGTCCTGGGGGACTCTGCACCCCAGGACTGTCCCACTGTGATGGTGATGAGGGTCATGGTGTCTGGGGTCCCTTCTTCCTCTAGTTGGGCTAAAGCTTTCTGGAATAAACTTCAGGCCATTGATGTGTTAGTGCCCTGGCACCACCATGACAAAGGCCACAGGGTGGCTTAAACAACAAGCTGGTTCTCTCCCAGTGCTAGAAGCCGGAAATCTGAGGTCAGGGTGTCTCAGGGCTGGTTGCTCCTGAGACCTCTTCTTGGGGTGTAGACGACCCTCTTCTTGGGGTGTAGATGGCCCTCTTCTCCCCTTGTCCTCACATGGCCATCTCTGTGTGTGTGTCAGTTTTACTCTCTTATAATGACCCCAGTCAGATTGGATCAGGGTCCACCCCAGTGACCTCATTGGTGACCTCTTCAGAGCTCTCCACTCCAAACATAGTCATGTCCTAAGGTGCTGGGGTCAGTACTTCACCAGGTTAATTTTGGGGACATGACCTTCATATTTATTGAGTGTCTGAGGAGTGACACTGTCGCTGTGGTGCCAGCATAGTTTCCTGAAACCAATCCCAGCAGACTCGGGTTTCTTCACCCTTCACGGCTCTTTCTGTTCGCTCAGGAGAGACAAGGTCGTGGAGGGTGCACTGACGGCACGGGGACCGTCCTGGACTGTCGGAAAGGTCGCGTGAGGGGCGGCCCTAGTGTTGGGGAACCCACCTTGACCCTCCGCTTCACTGGGTCTGCATTTTGTGTTTCATTCTGTGTCTTTCTGCAGTATGCTCTGAGTTTCCCTTCCCAGAACCCCTGGGCAGCAGGGAGTGGGCAGGAAGAGTTTTCCAAGCCTGGTGTCCCTGAGCATGGGGCAGACCTTCTGGAAGGTTCTGCCCCCCCACATCGCTGTGGGTGAAGGTTCAATGAGGTCCTTGCAAAATTCTCTCCCCTCAAGGCTGGGCTTAGGACCCCAGGAGACCCCCATCCAACACACTGGATGTTGCTCTGCACCCTGATGGCACTTGGCTTCCATCTGCTTTATGAGTTCTGGGTGTCAGGTTTTCTTCCTGGGCCCCTGGGCAGGGTGCAGGACGCGTCATGAAAGTCCACTCCTGCGTATATTGCATCTCTGAGACCCTGTGGGTTGGACCAACCAGCTCCAGCCCTTGTTCCTACGGCTGCTGCTGGCCTCTGTCCCCAGCCCACGCGCCATTCTCCCCGCAGGTGTTCGGCCATGGGAAGGCCAACGGGGAGCCCACGTGGGCGCTGCTGCTCACGGCTCTCATCTGTGAGATTGGCATCCTCATCGCTTCCCTGGACAGTGTGGCTCCCATCCTCTCCATGTGAGTGCGGGTGCAGACGGCATGTAGGGACGGGGATGTGGTCACCACTGTGACCACTACAGGGACATGAGGCCCTGCTCTCAGGGCTGGCCTTCTGCTCAGGGAATAGTAGACTGGGAAGGGGCCCAGATGGTTATGGTGGGACAGTGATGTGGATGACAGGCGGGCAGGCAGACCTGGAGGGCAGTGATGGGGTCAGGACAAGGAGATTCCCATAGGAAGGACACTGATGTGGGTGAGGGGGCTCACGGGAGGTGGTGGGCAGGGACTCCCGCAGGACGGAGCAGATGTTGGGACCACTGTGGAATCTGCCCGGCCCCTCTGACGCTGCTTCTTGGTTCCCCAGGTTCTTCCTCATGTGCTACATGTTTGTGAACCTGGCCTGCGCTGTGCAGACCCTACTGCGCACCCCTAACTGGCGCCCACGCTTCAGATACTACCACTGGTAAGGCTGCCACCTGTAAGGCTACCACTGGGAGGGGATACATGGTGCGTCTGCAGGGCCAGCTGCTGTGGGGCCCAAAGACTGCAGGGGCCCTGGTTGTCCTTTGTGGAAGAGCCCAGCCAGGCTGGTGAGGGCAGTGTGCCTGTGTTTGTCACCTGGGATGCCCACCTGCGGCAACCCTTGTTTTCAGTATGGGACCCGGGGCTGCTTGGTCTCATGTTCCCTGGGCGTCAGGTGCTGAGTTTCGTGCCCAGCGGGGTGCCGAGTGCCTTGGGGAGTAGAGTGGATGTTCAGCATAGTTGAAGAGCCAGGGCTTCTGCAGGTGTCAGTGGGGCCATTTCAGCCCTTGGAGTCAACTCAGGATGGAGGAGCCAGTTGCCAGGCATCCCTGCTGTTTTTTAGGAGTAACTGAAAGAAAGATTTTCACTAAGGGACCAGTAACGTTTTTGAGGCAGCTGCTTAGATGTTAGTTTGGGGCATGGGGACGGACGGGGCATGTGAGGTATGAGGGTCCGGGTGCGGGCCAGGGCATGGACTCTGGCCCCCACTTGCGGCCACTAGATGACCACACACTCCCCCAGGACGCTATCCTTCCTGGGCATGAGCCTGTGCCTGGCACTGATGTTCATCTGCTCCTGGTACTATGCCCTGTTTGCCATGCTTATCGCCGGCTGTATCTACAAGTACATTGAGTACCGAGGGTGAGTTCTGTGGGCAATGCGGCCACCAAGGTCACGGGTCCCTGCCAACCTGGCGTGCTCCTGGAGTGGGGCCTTCCTGGGGTTTTATAGCCAAGTCCTGTGTAGGGTGGGTTAGGACTGGGAGGGCTGGGGTCCCTCTCCCGGAGACAGGTGCACAGGGACCTGAGCAGGATCTCTGCTGCAGCCGTTGTCATAACAGGTGGAGAGCTGCCACATCTACTGTTCTCAGTTGATTCTGTGTTTGTATGACACAGCATTAGATTTATCTATATATATAAAAGCCATACTTTTTTAGTGTGCTTTTTAGAAACTAAAATCCACCCAGTGGCAACACTGATAAGTGGCAGATTTCAAAGTTTCCAGAAACCACATGGTCAGAAAAAGCTGTGGGCAACAGTAGTAGGCTAACTGCATCTCAGAGCCTGTAGTTTCCTCACTGGGGCATTTCCCCAGCGCCCTGGTCCCTGCGGGGTGGCAGGGAGAGGTGGAGCCTCTCTGGCCAGGTGGGTGGGCTGCCTGAAGTTCTGCCCCAGCTCTCAGAGTGATTTCGAAGGAGGGTCTGGGGGCTGTGTCTGCTCATGCTGGTGAAGCCGTCTTTTGGAGCCAGCTTTGCCCAGGTCACTGCCCGTCAGAGTCCCTCCACCACATCTTCATTTCCCCCAGTTGGCCGAAACTCTGAGGTCCCATACATGGTGCCAGGGTCACCTCCTCCTACCTCTTCCAGCCATGGTGCTCCCTCCCCATGTCTTGCCCCTCTCCGCTCTTGACTGGCCTGGAAGCCCCGTCCTCTATTACAGAAGTGCAGAGAGATCCTAAGTCGGCTTACTGGGGTGGCTGCCCTGCTTCCTGAGTGTGCTGTGCTGTGGGGACCTCACTGCTGTCCTTTCTTTCACAGGGCTGAGAAGGAGTGGGGGGATGGCATCAGGGGACTGTCGCTTAATGCCGCCCGCTACGCCCTGTTGCGTGTGGAACATGGCACCCCCCACACCAAGAACTGGAGGTGAGCACCCGCAGCCTACCTCAGACACCGCCCCTGCCCTTTGAGCCCATGGAGCACCTTCCCTGAGTCCATGGCGGGTCAGCCGGAGGGGGGGGTGATCAGTTTGTGTCTGATCAGACGTCTGGAGGGCAATGTTGGGCTCTAAGCTGGGCCTGGGCTGTGTGATGGGTGGGAAGTGGGTGAGCTTTTCTAGTGGGGCTCCTGTGGATGGAGGACTTCAGCATGTAACAGCTGGGCTGTGCCCTCTTCTCACTTCTGGGAGGGGGTCGGGGGAAGGTTCCCCCTATTTTAATCTGTACTGAAAGCCCTTGGTCTCCCCATCCTGCTCTTACCTGGAGGTGTTAATGAGCAGGGATGGGAGGTGCCCACCGGGGTTTTCAGCAGACAGCCTTAGGCTTGGGGCCCCAGGATGCATTTGACTATTCACTTGTCTCACCTGTTCACCTTTCCCATGGTTGCCTATTTCACCTGTCCCACCTGTTCACCTGTCCACCTGTGAGGGTGTGGTGATGAGTTGCCATGGTAACTGCTATCCCTACACAGGCCCCAGGTGCTGGTGATGTTGAACCTGGACTCTGAGCAGTGTGTGAAGCACCCCCGCCTGCTGTCCTTCACCACGCAGCTCAAGGCTGGCAAGGGCCTGACCATCGTGGGCTCTGTGCTGGAGGGGACCTACTTGGATAAGCACACGGAGGCCCAGCAGGCCGAGGAGGTAGGTGGGCACCGGCTGGGTCTGGAAGGGGGAGGTGGGACCAGGGTGGCCTGTGAAGAAGTGGAGAGCAGTGGGGAGGGCAGCCATGTCTGCCTGGGATGCACGAAGGTCTTCCATCTCCGATGCCCCAGGCAGTGTTGTGTGCTTCGCTATTGCTTTTCTCAAAGAAAGCAGTGGTCTTTCAGTTTGAAACATGCGGGACTGAAACCTGCTTATGAAATGCTCCCAATATGCGATGCTCTGAGACCTTAAAGAGAGCCAGTGTAGGTTACAGTCAGGAGGGTTGTAAAACTGGTGCTGAAGGCCATTTAGCTCAAACCTTGGAAAAGTCCTCCTGATGGACAGGTCTCTTCAGAGCCCTTATGATGACCCAGCTCCAGTTTCCTTCCTTGTTTGAGGTCCCTGTCCTGCTGGGTTTGCCTGCTCAGAGGTTCTGAGGTCTCGGCAAGGGCAGAGGGGAGTGACTCTAGCCCTTCGTATGAGTGTCCTGCAGTGGCTGTAACTCATGACCACACCTGAGGGGCTGACAACAATACAGGCTTATCCTCCCTCTCTTTGGGCCAGAAGTCCAAAATCAAGGTGTTACAGGATTGCACTCCCTCCCAATACTGGGAGGAGGACCCGTCCTGCCTCCTTCAGCCCTGGAGGCTCCAGGTGTCCCTGGGCTTGTGGCCGCATTCCTCACAGTTCTGCCCGTCTTTACATGACTTCTCCATGTCTGTGTCTTTCCTCTTCTGTCTCATAAGGACACTTGTCACTGGATTCAATGCGACCTGGATGATCTAGGACGATCTCCTCATCTTAGGATTCTTAACTTAATCACACCTACAAAGACCCGTTTTTCAAACAATGCTACATTCACAGATTATCAGAATTAAGATATAGACTTATCTTTTGGGGGACCACCATCAGCCCACTGTAGTTTGTCCTCTGCCCCCCAAAATGCTCATCTGTCTTATGTGCAGAATACATTCATCTTATCCCAACTACCTCCTCAGTCTCAGCTCATCAATTCTCAGTCCAGAATCCCTCTAGCTATCAGCAGCTGAGGTCCCAAATCTCATTGTCTCCATCATTTGAATTGGGTATTGGTGAGACTCTGGGTGTAGCTCATCCTAGGGCTAAATTCCTCTGTCCATAGACCTGTGAGATTTAAGAAAACAAGTGATCTGTGTTCCAAAATTCAGTGTGGGGCAGGCCTTGGAGAGACATTCCCATTCTAGGAGGCAGACATTTGAGGAATTTGGAATGCAGTGGGCGGGCCCATTGGTGTCAGGATTCTCTATGGTTTGTGGCTCTGCCTAAAGGGAGCCCTGAGCCTGGCCTCTGGGCAGCTCAGCATGGCCGGGAAGAAGACCAGCATCCACACGCAGCATTTCTTTAATGGAAAACATGTTGGTTACTGCGTGTTGGGCCTCCTCTGAAATCAAGCTGCCTGGTCAGATGCCTGCTGATGGAGTGGGCAGAAACTGCACACAGTGGAGCAGATGGCATGCATCTGGTATTTCATCCCTGAACCTGTGAGATACCACAGTTTTTCTTAGAAGAGCTGTTAGTTTTGACACGTTCTAGTGAAGTTTTCAACAAACCAGCTGTTTAATCCAGGACTTAAATGTCCCAGTGAAATAGTTGGCAGTTTTGTGACGATGTTGATCACGTGAAAGAACCACCTCAAGTTGTATGCACAGCGCTGACCATCGCCCCAGTCTCCACACACACACACACACACAGACGCAGGTACCCCAGAGCACCTGCTGGGTCCTGAATTTAGTACCACAGGTACCACCCTCGCTGAGCCTGTGGCCTTACCCTGAGGCAGTGATGTCGGTGTGGGGTCTGCCCAGGCTGCCCAGGCCCCTTGTGGTGGGTGGGTGGTGCTGACACATGCTGCTCCTGGTCTGCTCCATGGACACTGTGGCACTGACTCTTGTCCTCTCCCCAGAACATCCGGTCCCTGATGGGTGTCGAAAAGACCAAAGGCTTCTGCCAGCTGGTTGTGTCTTCCAACCTGCGGGATGGCATGTCCCACCTGATCCAGTCAGCTGGCCTTGGGGGCATGAAGCACAACACAGTGCTCATGGCCTGGCCTGAGTCCTGGAAGGAGGAGGACAACCCTTTCTCCTGGAAGAACTTTGTCGGTGGGTAATGTCTCCCACGGGCTGCGGGTGTCAGGGTCACCAGCCCGATAGCTGCTCCCTGGAGGCCTGTTGGCGCCCCAAGCTTGTTTCACTTGAAAACATTTGAAAAGTGAACATCCATTTGAAAGCCTTGAGCTGCCCTCTCCCTGTCTCCCAACCATGCCCCCCAATTTGGCCATCCCTGGGGAGGTACCCAGCTTGGCCGCCTGCACCCCTGTGCCAGCTGCCAAGTGGCTGATGGAGCAAGGTCTGCCTTTGGAGCCTCCCCTGGGTGGGGGCTTAATGGGAACCCCGTGGCCGCCTCCTGTGCTGGCTGGTGCCCAGCAAGTCAATGGGGTGCACAGTTCTCCTGAGGCCCTCTTGACCATGTGCTGTCTCCCCACAGACACCGTCCGTGACACCACGGCAGCACAGCAGGCCCTGCTGGTGGCCAAAAATGTGGACCTGTTTCCGCAAAACCAGGAACGCTTCAGTGACGGGAACATCGACGTGTGGTGGATCGTGCACGATGGCGGCCTGCTCATGCTGCTGCCCTTCCTGCTGCGGCAGCACAAGGTGGGAACCGTAGTCACGTGAGGTGGGTCACAGGTGGGGTCAGGGGTCACACGGAGGGGCGGAGGGGCCACAGATGGAGGGTCATGGGTCACAGGTGGGAGGTCATGGGCCATGCAGTGGTGGGGTGGGGGACACATCATGCTGGGGAAGGGTCACATTAGTTGGGCTGCTTTGGGTGGCTTGTGTCCCCTGAGGGGGGCAGTGGGGCCAATGGTGTCAGAAGCTGAGTGCAGATGTGCGCCCCCTGCCCCGCCCAGGTGTGGAGGAAGTGCCGGATGCGCATCTTCACAGTGGCTCAGGTGGATGACAATAGCATCCAGATGAAGAAGGACCTGCAGACGTTCCTGTACCACCTCAGGATCAGCGCAGAGGTGGAGGTGGTGGAGATGGTGAGGCCCTGTGTGCTCGGGTGGGCGGCACTGCCGGCTGTGCTGTTTTGTTAAAGTTTGGTGTAGTTCTGGATTTGTGCGCACGTGGAGGTGGAGCAGGGTTCCCGCGGGCCCTGGTGCTGACTTCACATTCACCGTGGTGGTCACAGCTGAGGGCTGGCCCTGTACGTTACTGCCCTCTGTGCTGCTGACTGCCAGCATCTTCTGTCATTCCCCAATGTCCTCCTCTGTTTCAGAACCCCACTAGGCTGCACTCCCTCCTCTGGGCTATGACAGTTTTTCTCCCCCCCCTTTTTTTTTATGACCGTGGCAGTTTAGAGGGACTCAGGTATTTTGTAGAATGCCCCCCATTAAGGGGAATGTGACATTTAACCCATCACAGGTGGTGAGGACCTGTGATCCAGGTGTGTCACAGGTGCCCCCTTTGTGAAGTCCAGACTCTCTCTCTGGAAGTGCGTCCCAAGTCAGCGTGCAGGAGAGGCTAAGCTGCCAGGATCTCCTCTGCATGTGTTGGGTGCATTTGTGTGTAGATTTCACACTACTCTGCACTTTGGGTTGTTCACTACACTGTTCATTCTCTTGCTCATGTTCACCAGCTTTGGCTGTTGGGATGTCTTCTATGTGGCTCCCGTGTCCCTTTGCTGCTGTCCCCCATTCTCCTGTAACCATCCATCAGCAAGCTCACACATTTTTAAATCACCTGAAGCCAAATGGAATTAAGCTGCAAATGATCTGGCCCCCATTTGAGGGGGTATTGAGGCATGGTGTCTGTCATAATTTTGAGTAACTATGGCTATTGTATTTCAAAGTCACTGGTCTCATTCAGCTTTCCAAGTGGGTAGTTGGTCCCGTTTATTTAACAGTAACATTAAAATCTACAGCCCTGCTTGGTCTCAGTCATGATTGCTAATTAGGTTTAAGTAGAAAGCATCTGTGGTTTAGGGACAACATAATTTCATTTCCTTTGTGAACATGAGAGTAGTCCTGCTCCTGCCTGGGACCACCCTGCTACCCACCCATCGGAGGGGTGGGTCCTGCGAGGTTTATAGTTAAGGTGAGCACTCCTGTGGGAGGAGGAGGCCGTGGCTGGTGTCCAGTTAGTTAGGTCCCTCCTTCCCCTCCTGCTGCTCCTGGGATCTTCTTCAGGTCAGCCTGTCCCTCCAGGGCATCGCGGGACAGAGATGGTCCAAGATGCTGTTCTCACGTGGAGTTATGTGAATTGGGAGCCTTGTTGACAGAGAGCAAGGGCCCGGGGTACCTGGGGCTGTAAGGTCCTCAGGAAGCAGGGGGCCCACGGGGTACCTGAGGGCCATGGATTTGTGGGGAGTGTGAAAATGAATGAGGATAGGGGAGGTCAGTGGTCAGAGGCTAAAATTTAACAGTAAGGAATCAGGGCCACTAACAAGGAAGGAGGTGTTACCAGCGAGCAAGGTTCAGAAAGACCAAAGTCAGGAGCGTGAACTGTGAAGTATCAGCACGAAAGAGCTTGGGGTTTTGCTAAGACTTTTCTGTTTTAAAAATATATCTTTATTGATTTCAGAGAGAGGAAGGGAGAGAGAGAGATAGAAACATCAATGAGAGAGTCATTGATCAGCTGCAGCCCGCAACCTGGACATGTACCCTGACCGGGAATCGACCCCGATCTCCTGGATCCTAGGTCACTGCTCAACCACTGAGCCACGCCTGGCTGGGCAAGACTGTTCTTTAAAATGAGTAGATTTTATTAAGAGCATCAGGGAAATTTAGTTAATGGACTCAAAGGGCATGCAAGCCCAAACCAGCTTGCTGTGAGCGCCGAGGGTCAACACGCCCCAGCAGTCAGGTCAGCTGGCCATCTGTCCACAGGATCTTGCCTCCTAGATGCTGATGTTGCAGCCTTAAGTACCGGAAATGAGGGTACCTTTTATTTTGTAGAGGATATGATTTAAATACCTGGGGGGAAAAACAAGAAAATAAACATTGTACTCAGTAAGAATTTAGTAGAGTGGACTGACAGAAATAATGCATAAAAATTAATTTCTCCACAGAGTGACACACAAGAATGTGTAAGGGAATGACACCCAGCTCACAAAGCCCTGTGGGCGGGGCACAGAGCTCCATGGAGGTCCTACGGGCAGATCTCAGGGCCAAGAGGGCTGAGGGGTGGTACACCCCAGGGACAGGGAGGACCCAGTGTCACCCACTGAAGGATAGGCCAGTGTCAGGAAAGGACCAAGCTCTGTGGTCAGTGGGCAAGTTACAGTTTATCCTGTGTAGGCAGCTAGCTCTCCTGGGCACAGGAAACAACTTCTGTTACTTGTGAGTGTGTCCCTCACACCTGGGCTGTGCACTGGTGGCCACTGCCAGGTGCAGACACCTGGACATATAGTGTGTGCTTGGTTAGCTATTGGTGTGGTGTTTTCCTCCTCACAGGCATCTCGTGTTAGTGAATGTGGGTTCTGGGGAGGGGTGGAGAATGAAGCATGTTCAGCTGTGAAGGCTGTTCACACACTCATGCGCTTACATAGCCTCACACTCTTCCTCTCACATGTTCACCAGCATACATGTTCGTGCACACTCACAGATATACTTACACACGCTCACATGCTGATTCACATATGTGCTCACACACTCACACATGTACAGGCACATGCTCACCTGCACATAGGATCACACTTACATGTGCTCACACATGCTCACCCCTCCTGGGGCTGGGGGCTGTGATGCTGCAGAGGGTGATGCAGAGAGGGAGGGGCAGAGCCTCCTATTGTTTCAGTACCTGCTCAACCTGAAGCAGGTGATCCGTGGTGAAAACGTCATGTTCTGTACATGTTGAGTTTACTTTTTTTTAAAATACATATTTTTATTTATTTCAGAGAGAGGAAGGGAGAGGGACAGATAGAAACATCAATGATGAGAGTCATTGATTGACTGCCTCCCGCACTCCCCCAACTGGGGATTGAGCCCGCAACCTGGGCATGTGCCCTAGCCGGGAATCGAAGGAGAATCTCCTGGGTCCTAGGTCTATGCTCAACCACTGAGCCACGCCTGGCCAGGCATTGAGTTTACTTCTGTGCCCTGGGATGTTCTAGGTTGAGAATGACATCTCCGCGTTCACCTATGAGAAGACGCTGGTCATGGAACAGAGGAGCCAGATGCTGAAGCAGATGCAGCTATCCAAGACGGAGCGTGAGAGGGAGGTGCGTGTGCATGCCAGACACCCCTTGGTAGAGGTGGCCAGTCACATGGGTGATGGTGCAGGACCAGGTTCTTCGCAGTTGCTTTGAACCACTCATCTCCATCCTTGGTTTTGTGAATGGTTGGGTGGCCTGAATTCCACCTCCACCTCTTCTCCGCATATGGATCAAGGTCTCACACCCTCACTGGCCTCTGTCGATTATGCCCAGGCTGGATTCAGAGGCTGTGTCAACCCTGGTATCTCACACACAGTCTACTTAGAGCCAACTTGTTAACCCCTCCCCCAGGCTCCATGCCTGACCTCGCATGACCCTGTTGTCGCCTGAGTAACCTTCACTCTGGCCACACAGGCCCCTCCAGTTTCTCAGTGATGCTAGCCCCTGCCCTGAGCCCACCTCATCCTCACAGGCCTCTCCTATCTCCCTCTGGCCATTTGTCAGCACCTTCTTTGCACACAGGCTTCCCACGGTGCTTTGTGTAATGCCATAGCTGCCTCCTTCCACATCCACCCACCCCAAAACTCCATGGCACTTATTGCCCACCCCAAAGCATGGGCTCCCTGGTACCCGCCTTGCTGTTGATGAATGAATGAGTGGACGAATGGATGGATTGATGGATGGATGAATGAATGAGTGGAGATGATTGAATGAATGAAAGGAAGGATGGGTGGGTGAGGGGATGAATGAGTAAATGATAGAAAAGATGATGAGTAAAGGGATGAATGAATGAATGCAAGGAAGAAAGGATGGATGAGTGAAGGAATGAATTAATGGATAAATGAGGTGATAGCTTAATTAGTGAGTGAAAGGTGGATGAGCGGGTCAGGAGGTGGAGGCAGCATGTGTAATAGAGACTTTGGACATCAGTGTCCTCTTGTGTCAATATGGAGTCCTGGGTTCTTTCTCAGTGGCTTTCAGAGCTGGAGCAGGTGGAAATGGTGAAGGAAGTGATGACTTTGGTCTGGAAGCCCAGGAGGAGGGTGGACTGGTAGGAGTGGGGGCAGTACTGGGGCCCCAACTAGGAGACCGTCAGGGGGTTCCTAGGTTAGGTTGGTCACGAAACCTTTGTGGTTCTGTGGGCCAGCGACTTCTCCCTTCTGTGCTCACCTCCCCCTCGGGAGGTTTGAGTCCTGCTGTGATGAGTCCTATTGCTTCCCCTACCCTTCCATCAGGCTCAGCTAATTCATGACAGGAACACTGCATCCCATTCTGTGGTGACCGCCAGGACCCAAGCCCCTTCCACACCGGACAAAGTTCAGATGACCTGGACAAAGGAGAAGCTGATCGCTGAGAAGTATAAGAACAAAGATACCAGCATGTCCGGGTTCAAAGACCTCTTCAGCCTGAAACCGTGAGTGTCAACCTGGTAGCCTGGGTGGCAGGTCCCAGCTCCCTTTGCTGCCTGTGACAGGGCAGCAGGCACACAGCTGCAGACTGGCAGACCTGGAAGGGTAGGGAATCAGCCCAAGGGCCACCACGTCCTCTTAGGGCTGGATAGCCAGGGCCCGGGCAGTGAGTCAGCCGTGAAGCCAGGCTTGTCTGTGTTCTTGGTGGGTCTTACAGCAGCTAGAAGTTAGGGTTTCTAGATGGATTGGAATTCCCAGCTTGGACCCTGCTGATGATGCAGGGCCAGGGGCCTGTCCGCCTGGTTTGGCTCCTGCCTGTGATGTTGAGCCGAGAACCACCAGGGCTGGCAAAAGTGCCCATGGAGGACACAGTGTGGCTCGGCTCCAGGAAAGGGTCTGGGTCCCAGGATAGGAGAGCAGAGCAGCATCTCCCTCGGGTCTTCAGCAGTGGGCTAGTCCCTATAGCCCAGGTTGTTGGGAGTGGCCTGGAGGCTTTCTGAGGCCCCTGGAGTTGAGAACCCCTTGCAGAGAAGGACCAAGTTAGGCCAGGAAAGGGCGGCCTGGGGTGAACCTAAAATTGTCTGAAAGTGTGCATCGTGATCACTGCTAAAGTAACATGTTCTCTGTTTTCTCTTCCATGTAGAGAATGGGGAAACCTGTAAGTCACTCACTTGGTTTAGGATACCTGTTAGCCTGCTTGCCTCGCATGCCTGGCCCATGCACCTCTAGTAAACCGTGTGTGCGTGGCTCATGTGCACATGTCCCCATGTGTGCGTGCGTGTCTGTGTGTGCCCGTCCATGTGCAGGCGGAGCTTGCTCGCCACTGCTGTAGCTTTCAGTTATTTCCTGTCTGATTGCTCCTCTCCGTTCAGAGCGGCTCATGGCACGTCCCTGAGATTCGTTCTCTAAAGACCAAGGAAGAACCGGGATCTGGGCCGGTTGGTCCTGTGCCGGTTGGTCCTGAGCCGGCTCTGAGTGGAAGCTTGTGTCTTGATAGCTGTTAGTTGATTCACCCACATCCCTGGATCCAGGAAGGTGTTCAAATACAAAACCTCAGTTCTGTGGGGACAGGATTTCCTGTGTCCCCCAATCAGACGCCTTTCACCCTGTGGGAAGCTGCTGTCCTTTACCATCTATGTGAAAAGGGATGTGGATGAGTTTTCTGCACGGTCAGGCCAGGACTTAGTCCCATGGCCAGGGCTCCAGGGCTCCAGGGCCAGGCTGGCCAGGCGGGAGGGAGGGCCCCCTGAGGCTGCTGTTGGTCCATTTGTCCATACGTCTTTCTCTATCGTGTCCCCCCTCCCCTGGCTGCCCCAGGAACTTCTAGGCTGTTTTCTCCTGCAGTGGCGCAGCCCAAGGCAGTGTCTATAGCAGAACTCTGGGACTAGGTGGCTACACTTCCTTTTTTGACCCCTAAACCTGAGTTAATTACATAACTGTTGGTCACTGAGGGAGCAAACATGTAGATGTATCAGGGAGACTGTGCTCGGGGGTATACATGGGACTACATTCTGCTCTGTTTTTCTGTAAATCTAAAATCTGTCCCCCCCCATAAAGTCTATAAATTTAAAAAAACACACAAAACGTAGACACAGGATAGGGTTTCTCCCTAAAGCACTGTTGAACCATGGCCTGCTGAGATCCCTGCGCCCACGCGGCACACTTGGGCTCAGGACAGGAGCTCCATGCACCTGAACCCCTAACCTCTGCATTGAGCCAGAGTGCACCTCTGCAGGCTTGGGGACACAGAAGCAAGTGAACCAGGAAGAGGCTATTTTATGGACAGAACTAAGCATACAGGTGGACGTTCCTCTAGGGCTGCACTCCTGTCTGGCTCTCCTCATGGTTAGGCTGGGAGAGGCTTCTGGAAGGTGGGAGGTCAGCCCATACTTGACTTGTGGGTGACTTGCTGTGGTATCCCTAGGGCACGTGCACTTTGGGGTGGCCTGGGGTGTGTTGTGCCCGTCTTTTTTTCTGTGTTTTCTCTTTTTCCTGGCCATGTCACAACAGGGACCAGAATCTCCATTTTGGTTCTTCATCCCTGTACCCCCCACCCTGGACCCTTAATTCCCAGCCTTAGAAACCTGTTTCGAAAGCTCTTCTCCCTCTGGTAGAGTCAGCGTATTGCTGATACATTTCCTGCTTTGTGGACTCACAGCAGACTAGTAGCTTCTGGACCATGAGGGACACCCTGTCCCTCTTTGGGTCTCTGCCCCCCAACGGGGGCACTTTGTCATGGAGCCACAGGTCCTCCCAGACCCAAACCTTTGATTTTAAGATTATATGTGTTTTCAAACTCTTAACCCTAAGAGATCCTTTAATATCTCACACATGCATTTCTAGGATTGCTGCCCTCCCCAAGCACACTGGTAATTTTGGTCTCTCCAGGCACCTAATTCATGGTTGTTGTGATGAGAGATCCCGGTTGTGCCTCGGACAGACCTGATCTCTAATTTTATCAGACGGAATTGGAGGGAGAAAATAAAGGGTCTGTGTCCCTGTTTTCCTCCTGGTAATAATTGGTGGTTATAATCAGATTTATTTGGTTTAAGGGTTGAGTTGATCAAAGAGTGCGGCCTGGGCACTCGTCCTGCAGGCCTTTTCCTGACCCCTTGTGTGCGGCCTCTGTGTATCTGTCTGCCCATCCCTCCCATGTCCAGGACGTAGTGACCTTGTAGAAGGACTGCAGTCCGACTGCCTTTCTGTGCTCAGACAGCAAGCTCGCCCCCAAAGCATTTGCTTCCGCCTGTGTGGACAGTTGCTTGTAAACTAGAAGCTCCGCAGCTTTAGTGATTCTCAGTCTTAAGTGTTTGGAGGCCAAAGCCTTCTAGTTGCTAAATAAATCCCCTCTCCCCTGTCCCCTAATTCCCAAAACGATTCTCCTACAGAATCACCTCCCATAGAGCCTTTAGGGCTATGAATCCATTTGAATTGGATCTGTTTCCACTCGACCCTTTCCAATGAGAATGAAGTGGGGCAGATCAGGCTTCAGACCTGGCCTGGTGCCCAGCATCGTGGGCTGGGGGGTGCAGAGTGACCATTTCCCTTTTGCAGGAACCAGTCCAATGTCAGGAGAATGCACACGGCTGTGAAGCTCAACGGTGTCGTCCTGAACAAGTCCCAGGACGCCCAGCTGGTCCTGCTGAACATGCCAGGACCCCCCAAAAACCGGCAGGGGGATGAGAACTGTATCCTTGCCTTGTGCAGCCCTTAGGGTGGGGAGCAGGTTACATGGGCTCTGGGCTCTGAGCTCCCACCTGGCCAGCTCCTGTCCTGGTGTTTCCCTGGGGCCTATCAGGCACCTGTGACTCGATCTCTGGGAAGGACCGAGCCTGAGGCAATGGGTCCACAGGCTCTTCCAAGCTCGACTCTGACCCCTCTTGGCACCTTGCTGCCCATTAAACATGTGCCCCATGTTCCCTTGTGGGCTCCCCAGCCCCTCCCAGTTGGTCGGGATGTGCCAGCCACAAAGTGGGAGGCTTTGACCTCAAGAGGTCATAGGTCAACCCTGCCCAAAGTGGTTTGTCAGCCCCTAAATGTGCGTCGGCTGCCACATGATGCAGGAGCAGGTCCTCACACAGGCTCCAGGCTGCCTAGGGGTGTGGCCTGGGGACAGGCCTCCGGGATTCAGCCCCTGCCCTCCCCCGGGGGAGTAGGATCAGAGGTGAGTAGGAAGTCAGCAGCTTGGCTCTCAGGTTCAAGCCTCACGCTGACTACAAGTTAAGACTTTATGTCTTGGTGACCAGGGTATTCCGGCCTCTTTGGGTGTCTTGGTGGATAGTGGACACATATGTCAGGCACATCCATCCTGGTGGGTCTGCACCTGGAGCCCTCGGTGAGGGCAGGGGTCTCCTCTTGGTTCCCAATCAGGCCACCTGTGTCGGATGGAGGCTTCTTGTTAGGTGGCGTCTGCACTTCAGGCTGCACTTCTGGGACCCCTCCTCTGTCCTGGGCCACTTTCCCACCCCACACAGGGACTTAGGGTCTGGTTTTTCCTGACTCAGCCCTCATCTTTCTCAAACCCAGTCCTAATGACACAGGGCCCTGAGTAAGACACTCTTCATGCTTTAGGCTATATGTCCATGGGATCAGCTTTGGCCTTAACTCGTTCCACCCCAGATATGGAGTTCCTTGAGGTCTTGACCGAGGGGCTAAACAGGGTCCTCCTGGTCAGGGGCAGTGGCCGGGAGGTGATCACCATCTATTCCTAATGCTCAGCCACTCTGGAAGCGCACTGGGCAGGCGCAGGGACGGTGCTGTGTGCACAGACCATGGCCTGACCTGCCAGCGTGGCTTTCTACAGAAGTTTCTAGAATACCATCGGGCTCTCCTGTCCAGGCTGAGAGCCACTGTGTGACTGAAAAGATTTCCTTGAGTCCAAGGGGAGATGAGATGCCCTTGGTGCTCCATATGCTCATGAGGGAGACTCAGAGTACCTGGGACACAGCTGTCCCTCTCATGAGGGCCATGCACTCAACCTCTGGATTCTAGAATTAATTCTCCTGACTGCACCTGCCTGGTCTTTTGTGGCAGTCACATTTCAGTTCTGCATCCGGGACATTCGCAAGAAGCCATATTTGGACTGAAGTTGACCCTTGGGCCATTAGGGTCCGTTTATGAAGGTGAAACGTCAGCCTGTGGCTAAGGGCTCAGTACAGGTTCTTCATCAGCCCCTGATCTGTCTGTTCCTTTGGATATCCTTGTTTGTTTCCAAAAGTAAAGGCAGAGAAGCCAGCCACCCACGCCCTCATCCCCAGGCTTAGCTGGGTGGCCTTGGTCATGTCCCCATCTTGTTGGGGATGACTGGTAAGGGAACGTGCTTGTTCGTGAACTCAAGGTGGGTTGTCCAGCTGGGTTTGTGCTCCAGGAAGCTCCCCAGGGCAAGAACCCCAGTCGAGCCCTTAGCCCAGGTATGTGCTGCTGGGAACTCCAGCCCTTCATAAGCACTGGTGGGCCCAGCCTTGTGCGCACATTTCTGGACACGGAAATAGTAAATGCCGAGTGTTCACACCTTCGGAACCACAGGCAAACCACACAGTTCAGCATGACATGCACTTGCTCCTGTGACCTCATGTCCTCCCTTCAGGCTCCAGGGAGGGGTACCGGTAGGTCTGCAGCTGTGGGAGTCCTGGGTTGGGCAGGGCACATGCACTGAGTTGTCTGGCTGAAGCCTGTGCCACTCCACCGAATGGAGGGGACAGTGACAGCTGTGTTTAGGGCACTGACACGGTACCTTTTAGTGATCCGTAGGTTTTGCACTTTACCTTGTGGTCTTTCTGCTTGTGGTCGTGATCACACTCACTGTAGATGCTGCAGTAATTTGTGCCGCACTTCCTGTGTGGCTTATTTATTTGTTTAAACACCTGGACATTTCAGTGCTAATTGTCCATAAAGACGTCGTATCTATGAAAGAAGCCCAAAGGACCAGGCCCTTGGCTTTCTCAGGCTTCCATGGGGTCCCAAGGGAATTGGCCTGGGCCTCGGATTTCGTGTTGGGACAAAGATTAAGTGTGTATTTCCAGATGTTTCTGAGGAGCCATAGGGCAGCGTAGAGGGCCAGCATCGCCATCAGAGTGGCCACTGGTCAGAGTGTGTGCCAAATAGCTGCAGCCGGGTTGGGGGTGGGGTGGGGTCCAGACTTTGACCGTCCTGGTTCAGCATTGAGTTAAGCGAAACCCCTCACTATAGATGTGTGGTGAGGGCCCATGCGTCTGTGTCCCACCTGCCTGCCCAGTCCCTGAGCACCACACAGCCTCTCCACACTGAGCTTTGTGTAACTGTAATTGCAGCCCATTCAAGTGGATTTTGTTTTCCTTTTACAGTCTCGTCTTTGTATGATTTTTGTTAGTAGAAGAATAAAATCTATGTTGAATCTCATGTGTCTCATTCAGCATAAAAATTAGGCAATTGCAGAAAATGCCCCCATGCCTCCCTTCTCTTGGAGAAATTTGCTGAAATGACTTAGTGTATAATTTCTATCAGGATAGAATCAGCAAATAAAACCTGTCATTAGAGGGACCCCTTATTCTAACACAGGCTCACAGTGAGACCACGTCACACCCACCAGGATGGAGGTGAACCAAGGGGACAGGAAAACTGCAATGTGGTGTGAATGTGTAAAGGTGCGGGTGCTGTAGAAACTGTTGAAGCTCCTAAAATTGTTAAATAGTCACTGTGTGACCCAGCAATGCCACTCCTGGGTGTATAGTCCAGACAAGTGTGTCTACATAAACTTGTGCACATGTTTGTAGCAGCACTAGTCACACCAGCCAAAATGTGGGAACAGCCCAAATACCCATCCTTGGATAAGTGATTAAACAAAATGTAAACATATTCACTGGAACATAATTCAGTCGTTAAAAGGAATGGCATTCTAACATGTGCTGCCACGCGGATGAGCTGTGTGAAAGAAGCCAGCCACAGGTCACGTATGATTCCACTTACACAGACTGCAGAATAGTAGAATCCAGACAAAGGGGTTGGTGTTAATGGGCTGGGGGAGGGGAGAGTGACTGAGTGGGCATGGGGTTGCTTTTGGGGTGAGGGTATTCTGAAGTGTTCGTGGTGAAGTTTACACCGTGTGTGAATGTGTAAGAACACCAGATGCCATGCAGTGAACAGGTGTGAAGCTGTTACCCATGCCTCCTGGGGGCCTTGGACACAGGACTGCTGAGGAGAGACCTAGAGTGCTGAGCTGTGCTTCAGTCTCTGCTGTGTGTTTATATCCATGACCTGGAGCACAGGGCCAGGGTTTTGGGGGAAGGAGTGAGGATGTCACAGGGGAGTGGAAGGATCAGGCCCCATGGGGCTGGCAGAGACTTGAGGGAAGACTTGGTAGCGTCCCAGGGTACTTACTTGGCCATGTACCCATGGGCATCCAGGTAATGGGTTCTGTGGTGGAACAAGTTTGGGCATTGTGGTCAGTGCAGCACAGAGCCCTCTGGGCCTCACACTCAGCGTGGTGCCTTTGCCACTGGACAGCCCTGGAAAGGGGTGCAGATGCACGAGACACTAGAGCCCCAACATGGTGTGAAAAGCAAACTCGAACTGCTAAGATATGAGAACTGCTGGTGTATGCCAGCCACAGCTCACAGTGCCTGTGAGTGCCCGGAGGAAGCACTCGCCCCTTCTGAGGTTTCCACTGCATTCGGCCATGGCAGGCAGGCTCCTCCTTGCCAGGTAGGCTGCCAGCACCTAGCCAAACCCAATGCTCCACCTATGTCTGTCATCCTCCAAGGGGGCTCCTTCCACCCTGGGGGCTGGTTTCCCATAGGCAGAGCCTGGGCTGTGGATCCTGGGTGCAGTTGGTCTCTGAGCTCCACTCAGCCCCACTCTGGGGCTGGAGTTCCTGCCCACCCTACTTCCCTGCCACCCACCCCTCTGCTCCCACACGCAGGCCCCTGGGGCCCAGCCAGCACAGCCTGTCCACTCTGGTCTCTGGCATTGCTGGGGCCTCTTGAGTACAACTTCCCCCAAAGCTCTGTTTCACCAGGACCTTATCAAGTGCTCAGGAGACAAGAGGGCAGCTCTGGCTTGTCTTCATCCCCTGAGAGGCAGATGAAGGTGCAGGAGTCCGGTCCAAGAGGTCTCCAGACAGCACTCACATCTGCCCTCATAAGCATGACTGCTGTAGAGAAGGGGGCCGAACAGAGAAAACCGCCCACTGAATTCCGGCCCCGTTATCTGTGAGACGTCCCTGGAAGTATGGTCTTTGTGTTGTTGGTCCAGAAATTAATGGTTCATAAGTGGGAACATCTGCTCGAGCTTTTACTCACATGCCAGGTGCTGTTTTTATCTCTTCTCTGTGGATATCACAAAGTGCACCCACAATCATGAGGAGGTGAGGTGTGTGACCCTTGCCTGCCAGAGGTCGCTACTGCCGAGGGCAGGGAGCTGGTAGGATGGACTTGCGTGGTCATTTCCATCCGGACAATGACATGCATCTCTCCTGCATGGACTCACAAGCAGCACACGCTCAGCTTCCGGTGTGGTTGCTGGCGTTCACTGCACTTAGAATTGTTCTTAAACCAGGGTCTGGGTCAGAGGCTGGAGTTCGGGCCCACCCTACTTCCCTGCCAGCTGGTCAGCAGAGCAGCTGCCTGAGGGCTATAGCAGGGCCACAGGGGTCTGCTGGGATTAACTAAATAAGGTCTCTGAATGTGGGACCAGTTGCAAGAGCTCTGCACACTGAGGAACGCACGCAGGTCATTATGACAGGCATTTCTGTAAAACCCTGATGCTAGCGGTGTGGCTGTCACTGTGCAGGATTCGTGCCGTGAATGGAGTGTAGATGTGTCCCCACGAGAGGGCGCTCTGCCCTGGGGCAGCCAGGCACCAGCTGGGGTCTGATGATCTGAAATGCCTGGAAAACTGAGATTTGAGTGCTCTGGCCTTGAAAGACCCCGAGAACCACCCAGTTCTCCCTACACACATGGCCTCGGCTCACGGAAAGACATGTTACTCAGAAATCCTAAGGGGCTTTACCATGGCCAGGAACAGGGATGTGATGGCAAAAGGGAGGAGGAAACGGTGGCAAATGACACATTGGCTCTCCAGGGTCTCATCACACAGAGCCCAGGGTCTCCATGTAAACCTTGGTCCTCACAGCCCCAGACAGTTGTCTGAAGTGCTCTGTTATCATAAACCCAATTTGAAGCTTAGGTTTTGTTTGTTTTTTAAAGCAGTAAAGTGGGGAAAATACATTACCCATAAACCTGGAATTAAGTATTAATTTTCCTTCTGCAAACTTCTGTATAAACAGAGACAGACACGCTCTCCATGCAGCATGAGCCCCCACAGGCTGGTGCATATGGACTGAATGTATCTATTTAAAAAGGTCATTTTAAAATAGGGAATGACATTATTACAAAATGCACGTATTTTTATTATGCCAGGGGATGGAAAACTCAGTTACAAGTCAATCACCAGTTTGCTGATTCTTAAAAACAGTTCCAAGAAGGTGAATGCAAAATCACCTGCACAAACCCTCAAGTTGCCAGGAAGTCCACTTGCTCATGTCGGATGGAAGGAGCAGCAGGGTTCTGCCACAGGGGGATGCTGCCAGCCAAGGTCCCATGACCCCCAGACACCATCACTACCCCTTTTCCTGACCCTTCCAGAGGGATCATCATAGTTTTCCACAGGTGGGCATCACAGAAGCTGTGAGCGAGCACTATGATGGCTTATGTGAGCCCAGAGAACAAGCGTCCTGCCACCTGTCCTGCGAACTGTATGTGTTTCGGGTGAACCTACCACCTGCCCTGGCCCTGCTCTCCATGTCTGTGTCCATTTAAGATGCTGGTGCCAGACCCACCCCACCTGTGCCCTTTTCTGCTCTAATTGTATCACCTCTCGAATTTTTCGACCACTGTTTGAGGCACACCTCATGCCTCCGTGGCTGCCCTTCTGTTATGATCGCGCTCGGTGTGGAGCAGAACTCACCATTGCACACGTAGCGCACCGAGGAACAGCCGCTCCCCAACACCACCTTCAGAATGAACGCCACCTTGGGCTTCAGAATGAACAATTACGTGAGAGCTGCAACGCTGTACGTTCACTCGGCTACGTAACACCAAGGCCTCGCCACCTGCACGTCTCAGTCCAAGGCACCCAAAGCTTGAGGCACCATGAGAAAAATGCAAAAGTCATCTGAGTAGCGTCCCTTCTACGCCACGAGGCTCATTTTGGGGTCATAAATGAAAGATACAATGGTACTTTTCTATGCTTACATATGCTTTTATGGGTTACACAGAATCACTTCATAACTGGGAAAAGTCAGTGGCATCAAACATGTGCATCTCAACATGACATCCATCAAGAGTGCGGAGGAAAGGAGAGCGGAGGAAGAGCGAAGGGCCTTCTCCACGAGTGTCCACCTGGTGCCACTGCAGCTGCCCACACCGAAGACCTGGAGCCAGGCTCCCGGCCGGCAGGGGCAGCTGGGTCGGGACGTGCACGCTAGGACGGGTGGTGGTGGTGGTAGTGGTGGTGGTGGTGGTGTTCGTGGTGGTGGTGGTGCTCGTGGCGCTGGACCACGGGCACTGAGTAGCCCTCCCCCACCAGCATGGGCGGCAGGTCCCGCACCACCTCATGCTCCATTACCGCAGGCTGGCCCAGCGTGGCCTTGAGTGGTGAATGGCCCTCCCTGCCCTTCTGCCGGTACCGCTTGTGGCCGTAGGGCTGAGGCGGGGGCTGCGGCGGGGGCTGTGGGAGGTGGTGGCCGTCCTGGGGGGCCTGGGGCAAGGGAGCTGGCGGGTGGTAGCTGAAGACCCTCCCGAGCTTGCCCCCAATGGGCACGCCCCCACTGGGCACCCCGGGCGCCCTGCCAGAGCCCTTGGGAGACTTGAGGAACTGCTTTTCCTGCCCCTTCAGCCGGGGCTGCACATCCAGGGCTCGGGCAGTGGGCTCGCCGGCCAGCAGGACGTGGTCAGCCAGCACCTGGGACCTGCGGTTGTACACAGTGTGTGCATCTGACTCCTGGGAGCGAGACCTGCTCGGGGGGTGCGAGGCCTTGCCCTGGTGTTCCTGCTTGGCCTGTGCTGGCGGGGACCCTGCATGCGTGGGATACAGACCATGAGACCCTCTGCAGGGCCTGAACATCTCACCTTGGACCAGGTACCCCCCCCACACCTGGACGCAGTACCGCCACATGGTCAGGATCCCTAGAACTCATGCTCAGGCCAGGGCTCATGCTCCTAAGAGAGGCATCCACACCCTGGGGCCTCTTACCCAGGGGACTGGTCTCTAGTACCTACCAGGTCCAAATTTAGATGTGTAGTTCTCTATTCCGGCCAGGTCCAGGTAGTGGTTCCTCCGCTCAGTGTTCTCATCCACGCAGTACAGCCCCCTCACAGGGCAGGGGTGGGGGTCAGCATTGGGCCTCCTGCGTGGGGCACAGGGAAGAAGGAGCCTGACCTTCACATAAGGCCAGAGCAGATGTTCCTCGGAGATGAACAGGGCACTGGAGTGGATGGTCCTGGGCAGTGGGCTCTGACAGCACACACCGCCCAGAGAGCATCAGAAAGGATGGGCATCCATCCTAGGACAGCAAGGTCCCTAGCTGGCCCGGGACCCCATCAAGACCCCAGGATCACTGTTGTAAATTGCCTTAGGGAACTTGCAGGAACTCCCATCTTCCGATCCACCTAGGATGCCCAGTCAGGCCCCAAGGCAGAGAGTGGGTCACTGCTCTGAGACCTCCACTGTCCCTGTCACCACCATAGCCAGTGAGTAGAGCCACCTGTGCCAGACTGAGGGTCTCCAGGCTGACCTATACCCTTCAAGCCTCACCCATCTCTCAGATAGATGCTGGGTGTACTTAGCTCCAGCCAGAGTGCCAGGCCACAAGACAGCACCCTCACCCCAACCGGAGGCTGTACCCAGGGCTCCTCCACACCCAGGTGCTCATCCTGGAATTCTGCCCTGAGGGGGCAGCCCCTGAGGCCTGAAGGAAGCAGGGGTGTGTGTGAGGAGGGTACACCTGGAGGGTAGAGCCAGATCCCAGCCCCTCACCTGATGTGAGCAGATAGCCTCCTGTCGGCCACCCTGGGGTCCTCGGAGATCTCACCCTCTGTCCGGCAGCGAGTGGGTTCTCGGTCTGAAAGAGTGAATTCACTCATTCGTTTGTTCACTTGTTCATTCATTCACTCATTCATACATTTACTGAGCAAATACTTCTGAGCCCCTGCCAGGTGCCAGGCCCTGCTTTCCATGTTAAGGAAACCAGAGATTTTGCCCCGGCAGAGGGGAGGGAGGAGCACTGAACAATAGGCACAATTAACAGTAACCCCCATGGCCTGGTGGGTGGGAGGTAAGGGCTATGGGGAAATGCAGAGTGGGTGTGGGGTGCCAGGAGGGGTGTCTGCAGGGAGAGGTGGGCTTCCATTTAAAGCAGAGTCTTCTGGGCATCTGAGTGGGGGGCCCAGCCCCTCACCCTGGCTGGTGGGGAGACCCTCCCTCCTTTTGCTGGAGGGCTCGGGGCTGACAGTCAGCTTCACACGGAGGGTCTTACTGCTACCAGAGGAGTGGTTGACTGAGGCGTCGACGACCTCGTAGATGGTGTGCATCAGGCTGGACATGTCCTAAGGATGGCACCAACGTCACTGCCACAGGCAGACTGGGCTGGGGAACAGCCTCCAGGCTGCCTGCCTGCTTGAGTCACTCTGTATCCCATACATACAGACCCCAACTCAGATACGACGACTTACTGAGCAGCCTTTTGCACCCCAAATTTAGCCTTGTGTGGCACCAAGCAGCAGGGGTAAGTAGCCCTGCTAGTGCTGGAATCACGTCTCTTGGACCTTTTAAATTTCACACTGAATCTATACGTTCAAAGGACTCAGCAGGCAGATAACTACCAAAGGTTTGCTCTTTAACCCAAAGACACTTATTTCCATCTTCCTACATGTCTGCTTCCTTTCCAGGGGCACTTTGCCCATCCTGGACACACAGGCCAGTGGAGGTGAGCGCTGGGGGCATGCCCAGGACCCTTACCACCTTGTCCAGGGGCTGCTGGCCCCACTGACCCTCAGGGGGATCCAGAAACAGGCCGTGCAAGGGCTCTGCTGGAAACAGCTCTGGCAGCCTGGGGCCACAAGACTCCCTAGGCTCCAGTGGCTGCCTGGGTCCATCACCCCCTCCCCTGCCTGGGAAAGGTCTAGTCTCTCCTCCCACCCTAGAGAGCTCAGCCTGTCTCCCCATCACAGAGACCAGGAACAGAGGCATCTGTCTGCTGCCAGCCCCCTGCCCTATGGACCATCTTCCGAAGACACAAGCGCATCACCTCCCTGGTGGCCTTCCCACTGTTGTCGAAGCCATAGAGGGTGAAGGTCCACTCCTGGCGGTTGTCCTCCTCCACCGAGACATCGCATTGGAGTGCCTGCAAGGCAGGTGGGGACAGAGGCAGGTGGGGCCATCACCCTGGACTGGGGCCCTGAGTCTCCCTCATCTCTCTGGAAAACAGGGGTCCTTCTATTGCTCCCTTGAGCTCATGCACTATGTGGGCTGGAAGACCAATAGTGGACCTTTGTGTCATTCCTGTGGTGCTGGAGCAACACCTGGGAAAGTCCCTGGATTATTTGGTGCCATATTGGCCAGTTTGGGCTGGATTCATGCGGACACCTTCTTTGTGCACCCCCCACCCCCTTTCCCAAAGCTTGTGGACTCTGGAAGCACATGCAGGCTTTGCTGTAGCTCCCCCAATCAGCTGAACCTCAGGTAAACTGTCCAGGCAGGACCCTGCTTTAGGGCCGATGTGCACCTATCCCAGGACCCTCTTGCACCATGAGGTGGAGCAAAGACCTACGTCGATGTTCAGGCGCTTCTTGCTCAGGCCTCGTGGGCCCTCACGGTTTGCAGCTCTTTCAACATCATCCGCACTGAAGAGCTGTCCAGTACCTTCTCGACCCTCAGCCTTCTCTGGGGGGAGTGCCACTGGAGGTAGAAGGAGTGAAGAAGAGCTGTTTCCCCTTGAAGCAGCCCAAGTAGGTGACTCAGGGCAGTGGAGATGCAGGAAGGTGCAGCTAGGGAGCCTGTGATCCTTTCCAGATGTGCCTGAGCTGAGAGCCCATCCTCCCAGAACAAGGAGGCATCAGGAGATCTGTGCAGAGGGCAGGGCAGCCCTCACCTCGGTTAGCCATGGTCAGGTGTGCCCTCAGCCCTCGCCTGGGATGGCCATAGCCAGGTGTGCCCTCCTGGCTCTGCCCACCCAGCCAGCAGTGGCTTCAGAGATCAAGGCGGTGAGGAGGCTGCCCTGGGTTGGTCCGGGTTTGGTGGGGAAGTTAAGGAGTGTGGAGTATGGGGCGGGGGTCTATGTCATCAGGGCCTCAGCTTGTCCAGGTGTCCTGACGGTAGGTTTTAGCCATACGCCTGGGATACAGGGTAGAGTCTATGAGGTTTGAGGAGCAGGACTTACCCTCTAGAGGACACTGGTCTTCCCGGAAAGGTCCCTCCTTGGGGTCCCCACTGAGAAGCTCCTGCAGAGAGAACAGGGAGTGTGTGACCACGTGGCTCAGTGTGGCATGTCATAGACATCAGCCTTCTGGGGTGTCGCTGCAGAGACACCAACCTGTGCACACCTCATTAAGCCTCAGATTCTTAGAAAGTAAAACACACGCACATCCTACAGTGTTGTCTGGTTCCATTAGAACCATCTCCAGGACAAGATGCAGCTGCCAGACGCAAGAACTGGAAGAGCGCTGCCCCCATAGCTGCCCAAGAACCCAGGTGACTGGGCTCCCAGCTGCTGGGGGGAAGGTGCCTCCCCCAGGGAAGCCAGGTGGGGCTGAGGGGTAAGCTCAGAGAAGCTCCTCAGCTTCTAGAGCTAATCCCCGAAACAGTCACAGAAAAATGGGAGACTCCCAATAGAAACTCTACAGAACAAAGGCTCCCATGGTCCTTGTAGAGAGCCCACAAGGAAGGAAAACATGAACAGGGTGATCAGGGAAACACCTTGAACCAGAAGACCCTGCCTGGCAGAGAGACATATGCCTACACCAGCCACTTGCCACTACACCAGCCATGGGCCACATGGCCACTATGCCTGTCATGTGCTCTCAGGTTCCTCATCCAAGGGGCCTGGTGCCAACAGCCAGACCCTCCTGCCAGGCCCTGCGAGTGATCTCCAGGGCAGCCCATGGCCATCAGCTGTAGGAAAAGGGACACCTGCCTTCCTCCAACACAGAGCACGCGAAGTGTTTAAAAAAGCACAGTGTCTCCAGCTCATTCTTTCAGAGAGGCTCAATGGCAAACAAAACAAAATAAAACAGAAACCTAAACACTTTCACCCAAAAAAACAAACTGATTTTTTCTCAGGAGGCATTGAGGAGGAACATAAAATGCCCTACATACCCTGTGCATGGGACGGAGGAGATCCACGATTCCGGGCACTCGCTCCCCGAGTTTGGTGAGGACAAGCCTGAACATCCCCTCTGCATGGAGAATGGAACCCTGGCAGGCCCTGGGGTCTCCCCAGGACCTCCTGGGAATACAACAGGGGTGACCTGAGGGATGGAGCACTAGTCCTCTGGGGGTTTTGGAAGATGTGTTCGGCCTCAGATGAGCCGGCTAAGCAGGCGAGCTCTGGAATGGGCAGAGTGGGCAGCGGCCCCGGGCACATGAAGGGAAGCCTTCCCGGAGTTCGAGCAGGGCATGGGCACCACCACAGAGCGCCCAGGACAGTTCAGAAGCCATTGCTGCGGAGACTGTGCCTTGAGGAAGATGGAATGTTGAGGGGACATGGCCCGTGCTCAGGAAGGGCTGTGGATGGGCAAGTAGGAGGAAGACCCCTGCTCTCTGCCCAGTGTCAGCTTCTCTTCTCATCTGCCCCCTGCCCCATGTCATACCCTCAGAACCAGGCTACTTCCATAGTTCGTTTTTAGGATGCCAGTTGGGGAATATGCTTGAGCTTGTTTTAACAAGAAATAACACCTAATTATTAAAAGATACTATTTCTTTTCCTTTTTGTACAACCTGCTGACATTTGAAGATCTTGATTTTGCTGCAGTGCTTAGGCCCCACTCAGAGTCCTACGAACGCCCTTTCATACTCAATGCACCAAGCAGCACGGGCCCTTGAGAGCCCCAAGCACTTTCCTAACCTGTGGGCAGGGCCGAGCTCTACCCAGACTAACATTAAGATAAAGCCCAATCATCACTTCTAAAAACCAGATTTTTGTTTACATATTTTTGCAAAACTAAAGCCATGAAGCTGAGGTCCCAGGCATTTGAGGGGACCAGGGGCAAGTACCCAGACTTCCTGGATGTGGGGAAAAAACAGGGTGCTGAAGGTCTAAGGTCAACAGAAACAGAAATTATGTTTTAAAGGGTAGTCAGGATCAGTTGACATCCAGGCTGGGGCTGTAGGCTCTAAGGTCACTGTCTATGCTGCTGGCTGGAGCCTGGAAGGAGGGTGGATACAACAGCCAACCATGAGAACAGGAACCCTACAACAGCCAGCCTGTGACTAGTGCCCTAAAGTGCCCTGAAGTTCCTTTTGAAAAAATGTTCATCCACATATATCCCAAAGCTGGAATCCACAGTGTTTATCTACGAGCTAAATCAGCAACTACCTCTGAGATGCAGAGGCTCAAATAAGGGGAAGAAAAAAACAGCAGTTGGGAGAAAAGTAACAATTCTTGTCCCTGTGACTGGTGGTTTCAGTCAAATTCGTCCTGGTTACATAAAAAGGCCCTTTAATCTGTGCTGCTTTGGCTAAACAGAAGGGCCAAAAGCTTTAATTGCAACGGATAAACCTACCACAGGGATGCTGGCCAGATGTGCAACCCCTCCCCGCTGGGGTGACCTCCTAGGTGGCCGAATCGCAGATAATTGGGCCTCAAGTGAGATGAGGGGCAAGCAGACACCCCATCTACTAAAGTCCAGCAAGTGCCCACCTCCCAGAGCCCTACCCAAGGTGGGCCCAGCCCTATGCCCTCCTGGGATGCGCCTCACCCTCCTTCCCTGATCTGAGGACCCTGTGGTGGAGACCCCCCTCCTGAAGCACCAATTTCTGCTCTCACTCCCTTTGCCACCCCCAAAGGAGTCCCAGCCTCAGGCCTATAAAAGTCCCCAACTCCGCCTCTCATCCCCATCTGGCCCCACCTTCTGCCTGGCCAGGTTTCTGTAGAGGGTGCTCAACATTATTCTCCTTAGTCCCCTGGCTGACAGAGCTCTGTTCCTGCCACCTCCCCCCCCCCC